TTTTTAGCAGTAGTAGGCAAGCATAATAATATAGTATAAATACCAAATCAGGACATAAAATACAAAATGTTGCCTTCAGAATATATATATATATATTAAAAAATATCCATCGTAAGTAGAAGTTGATCTCTTCGTTTAACTCCTCTGTAGCCTAACGCAGAGGCGTAGCGAAGAAGAGGCGGGGGGTGCGGACCGCAACGGGTGACACCATTTAGGGGGGGGGGAATGACACCAAAGGCAAAAAATTGTAAAATTTAAATTTATAGAATAAAATTCTATTTTTCAGATCCATTAGTTAAATTTAAATAGTCTTCTAAGTACAAATCGAAAATTATATCAAGAGGGGGGGGGGGGGGGGGGGGACACCACGACGTAAACGTAAACTATAAAGAAAACAATGCTACATCCAACTGTATTATAAACAGACTGTAGATAAACATCGTTACTCTTAAGTCAGCAGTGATTAAAGCTTAAACAAGTACGTATACCAGTATGTGGCATATATATAAATTTTAGGCCTATGTAGGCCCACACACACACACACACACACACACATATATATATATATATATATATATATATATATATATATATATATATATATACATATATATATATATATATATATATATATATATATATATACATATATATATATATATATATATATATATATATATATATATATATATATATATATATATATATATATATATATATATACATATATATATATATATATATATATATATACATATATATATATATATATATATATATATATATATATATATATATATATATATATACATATATATATATATATATATACATATATATATATATACATATATATATATATATATATATATATATATATATACATGTATATATATATATATATACATATATATATATATATATATATATATACATGTATATATATATATATATATACATATATATATATATATATATATATATATATATATATATATATATATATATATATATATATATATATATATATATATATATATAATATATATATATATATATATATATATATATATATATATATATATATATATATATATATATATATATATATATATATATATATATATATATATATATGCTTTGTTTCCTGAGAGGGGGTGACAATACGAAGTGCCGCACCGGGTGAGACCCGACCTAGCGACGCCACTGGCCTAACGGCTGACGAAGGGGCCCACTGATAATTTTTGCATAGGGGCCCACAAATCCTAGCTACGCCACTGCACTGACAATACCGTTTCTGTAGAGACTAAGTCTCCCGGCAAAGCGGTCTCATTGAATATCACATCTGCCAGTGGGACACCTTCATCAATATTCTTTAGAGTTAGCTTATCCAACACTCTTATGTAATACAACGTATGCATCTCTTGTTCGGCAGGCCTTATTTTTATAATAGTTTATCTATTATAAAATATAGTATGTTTTAATTTAAGGGTCATCTATCTATGACATCCATAATTGAGTCGGTTATAGGCTGTTCCAACTCATTGTGTGGGGAGAAGGGTCCACGCTGTACCTTCCTAACTGCAATATGCTTGTACAGGGGCGTAGCGAGGGGGGGGGGGCGGGGTGCGGACCGCACCGGGTGACACCATTTAGGGGGGTGACACCAAGGCAAAAAATAGCAAAATATATAGAGAAAAAGTTGAGGGGGGGTGTAAATCGAAAGTTTGGGGGGGGGGGGGGGTGCAAATCGAAAACTTGAAAGTTTGTCCACGGGAAGGGTCGCAACGCCTCTGGGGTGGTGACACCATTAAGTGCCGCACCGGGTGACACCCGACCTCGCTACGCCACTGTACTTGTAGGTTATCAAAACAAAATGCTGTTATCATGTTAACATCATGTATATGATACATTTACACTTCTGTGCTCGCTTTTAAGCAACAGATCTTTTCTGTAGTAAATTAAACATTATCAAAACTTTAGAATTGGTGGAATTTAGCTGTTAAGGGCTCGATTTGTTTGTGAATTAATGTTGGTTTATGAAAAAATAATTTCATTCGGGCATTAAAAAGAGGTTATGGTGGTATTGGAGGTAGGACACAATGGTTACTTTTATGCCAATAGTGGTCATATCATTCATTTTTCTGGAGCCAATATGTCGGGAGTCATTTTGTCAAAAGCCAATATGTCGGGAGCCCAATTGCCGGGAGCCAATATGTCGGGAGCCCATTTGCCGGGAGCCCATTTGTCTTGAGCCCTTATGTCGGGAGCCAATAAGTCGGGAGCCGCTTTGTCGGGAGCCAATATGTCCTGAGCCTATTTGTCAGGGGTTAATATGTCGGGAGTCCATTTGTCGGGAGCCTAAATATCGGGAGCCCATTTGTCGGGAGCCTATATGTCGCAAGTCAATATGACGGGAGCCCATTTGACGGGAGCCAATAAGTCGGGGCCCTTTTGACGGGGCTATTTTGACGGGGTCGGTTTGTCGGGAGTCGATTTGACGGGGTCGTATTAACGGGGCCGTTTTGACGGGGCCAATTTGTCCCGGGCCGTTTTGACAGGGCACCGTTTACATAATATATAATAACATTTCACTTTTCAAATGAATGGTTCTCTAAAAATTGTTTGAGGATAATTTAACCTGGCGTATGTCATGAGATTTAATAATGTGTTCTTTCAAAACACTATTGTTATAACATCATATTATGCAAACTCTGTTTTTCAATATTTAATGGGATAAGCTACATCCAGAACGGGATTATCGTGGTGTGTTGTACGGCTATCACGAAAGTCTCGAGTTGGGATCACGGTATAGAGTCCATGAACAGCCGAACTCCACTTCACCTTCCTCAGCACAAGCAGGCTTGTTACTTCGAATGGAATAATTAGCCACTTGTTAATTTATTTAAATAAAAAAACTACTTTCTCCTCATTGAGTTGAGCCTTGCACCGTGGCTTGAAAAGAAGATATCTCATAATTACAAATTTACTATAAAATATTATCACGGTTATACATTTTAACATACGGAAAAAACTTCGTATTTTCTTTAAAAGTACACAAAAATATACACTTTTCTGTATTAGAATAATTATTTCAATCAAAGCCTATTTAGAAACAGTAGTAAATGTAGTTATATTTGCCTCTCTATATTGTAAATTATTTTTGTTTTATTAAAATATATTATATCAGAAGCTATTTCCCTTAAACCTGCAGTAAAAGCAATGGGAAGTGATGAAAAGCACTCGTTTTTATTTTCTCGTATATAGGAAGTATAGAGAAAGTCTTGAAATCGTGCTAAGATAATCGAGATTTTTACAAATCTCGATTTTTTACACCTCACTGATATACGAATATTCGAGAAAGTTTAGGGGAGATCACTCCAGGTTTATTTTTTTGTTTAATAAATGTGCATTTATTTAAATAGCTGTCTATGAGTAGAAAAGTTTAGTTGTTTCTTTTCGACTAAATCAAACACACCAACTCTTGATCTGCTGACCGTCCCACGTGACTGGTCAGTTCGTTGTACTGTTATTATATTATTTCTGCCTGATCTATTATCTATAACAGATTGCTAACTTTCTATATATTAAAGTTGTTTTTTTCTTTTTTTTTTTTTTTTTTTTTTTTGATGCTATAAAAGGTTTTATTAATTTCACATTCATTAACATTAAAATACAACACTACATCTTCTTGAACATATTTTCAACATACACCAGCCTCACCACTATTATACCAGTATTCATGTTTCTATCACACAATGCTGTGTGTAAAAGAAACTCACAAAAAAAGATAGAAGTGCATTCTGCGTTTCTTACAACTAAAACTATATAACGAACTTAATAAAATTATCAATGCTCTTAGTCCTATTTAGAATTAGTTGTAAATAAAATCTATAAATATTTCAGCCAGGACAACTGAGCATTGGTTGTTAAATTTAGAACTATTGAATAAAAAAAAAGTATGCTATTTTAAAATCTGAAAAACAAATTATTTTAAATTTAAATAAATCATTTTAGACTGGGATTTTACACTTTTGGGAAAAGGAAATATTTTGTATCCTTTTAACTTGTGAAACATCATTTGCAAAGATTACATTCATGCTTTCTTAGAGATTTTTTCCAAATTTATGTTTCAATTTCTTTAAATCAACCTTGGAATCAGTCTCCACCTTGGCCTTTTTCTTTGCTGGTTCAGTGGATTCTTCTGGTGCAATAAAGGATTTATCTCGCTTCTGTTGCCTGTCTTGCTTTGATTGTTTCTGTTTCTGCTTTTTCAATTCTGCCTTACGTTGTCTTCTTTCATTCTCTTTAAGGAAGTACTAACCAGACGCAAGCTCTTCATCAATTTTAGATTCAGGCTGTGGGGGTGGGAATGGAGTATACTCCTTCTTCTTTCTTTTCTTCAATGGCTGCTTACGTTTACTTATATTTTTACTCTTGTACTGAGGTAGATACGGTTCCCAGTTTATATTCCGCATTTCAGGATTTTTGGCAAGGTCATGCTTTTCCATAATAGTACGAGTAACAAAAAAAGGGTGTATATTTTTCATACAGTCTTCAACAATTGTGCGTACTTCCTTAAGATCCTTATGTGGCCCTAAGTCAGCAACTGTGTTACCCTGAACTGCAACATAGCAATCAGTCAGGCATTCAGTTGCTTTAAGGGTTGTACCTCCTGGGCCAATAAGCCGCTTGCGCCGTTTAATAAACCTTTCTTTTTTTTCCACCATGGAGCCTATTTTTATTATATCACAAGCAACATCATCATCTAGAATCCTTTTAGCCTGCTCTAGATCAACACTACGAGCTAGCAATGTAATTAGGTCCCTGGCTTTGATAATAATGTATGGATCGTAAGTTTTTCTCGTTGTTTTTACACTAAGACTGCCTTTAATGAGGTCCATCTCTGGTTCAACGCCATGTTCATTGAGCACTTCTTTCACCAATGGCTAAACTTTTGACAAGTAGCTTTCACGATATTTTGTTCAAGTTGACTTTTATACAAACAAGATTTGAAGAAGTTATTTCAGAAATGCCTTCAGAAATTAAAAATTTAACGCTGAAAGAATTTTCTGAGGCTGGTGGCACATATGATTCAGTATTGGCGCATTGTAGGAAACAAAAGAGGCTTGCTCAGTTAGATAATGAGTTATGGAAACCTGTCAAGGGTAATGCTGAATATCTTGAATGCATTGATGAAGAAGGTGAAGAGCCAACTAAGCAATCTGATCTGGCAAAAAAAACTCCCTCATCCAAACCAAAGCGTCAGGGGAAAAATTCAGCAATGCCCCCTCCTACTAACAAAAATTCAGTTTTAAGACAAGTAACTCCTTCAACTCGAATGAGAACTAGATATGGCCAAACACCTTTAATAACACCCAAGTTTGACCCAAACCTTCCCCTTACACCTGAAAATATTCGAGATGTCAAACCTGGTGAGAGGCTGATGTCTTTAGCAGGAAGTCCTGTCCAGGTGGAAAAAGTAAATAAAAAAGTGTATGATGTAGTGGACAAGAAAGAAATAGCCAGTGGGTGGACGGACATCGCAGGCGTAGAGCTGTCTCCAAGCACGGTCGGCAAAATGCTGCAGTTTGTTTCAAACGCTATCAAAGAGACATCGTGAAGGTGGAGTTTAGCGGGGTAACTGTTGGCTCTTTGGTTTTAGGAACTGAACCATGTACAAATTTGTATGAATGAATCGTTTGCTTTTATACTAAGATTTGTAGGTGCGATGTGTATGATAAATTAAGTGTATAATATGGGATAATTATTTGTACATATTTGTTAAAAGATACATGATCAGCCAATTTGTTTATAATATGCTGACTGTGTAAGTGTACACAGCTCTGTTCAATTCTATTTATCTCTCATTTCACATTACAACGCATCTTTGTTGTCACATGATCAATTAATTTTAATATTAAATTAGCGTGCAATTTTCTTGTAACCACGGCTACTAATTTTGAAATATTTGTGGGTCAGGTTCCCTGAAGCTTTTAATTTTTAAATTTAAAGTTTAACAGAAATAAGAAAAACCAGAACAGCAGTAGCTGTTTACTTTTATTATGTTGTATTCACCATTTAAATTTGTAGGTAAAAATAGCTATGTTGCATTTGTTCAGACTGGCTAGATTTTGTTTGCTGTTTTAAATTCCTAATAGGTTGTTAACATTAACACCTGCCATTATTTATTACCTTGTCTACTACAGTCCCCTCCCCTGCCATCTTTGACCCACCTTATGTTGTACCATACATTCTGGCCAAATGCCCAGCCTCCCCCTGCCTCCACCCATTCATGTAATATTTACCATCTTCACCCAACCGTTTAATGGAACTATTGTAGATACTACCCTTGTGTTCTATTTTTCTCATCCTAATAATATCTGTAGTTTCTATTCTCATATTGTTCACACTGGCTTTATCAGCAGTACTGCAAGCATGAATATTTGGTGGTTTTTATTTTTTGGTATTCCAAATTGTTTTTTTACACAAATTTGGTCTCATTTGCAGTACTGCAAAAATATATCAATGGTCTTGTTATTTTTTATTTTTTTTGAGAATCATTTTGTTTACATTTCAAGTTGAAATAAATTTATAATCGTTCAGTCAGAGCCAGAGAACATTAATAAAACGGGTTGGATCCAAAGTCATTAAAAACAATATACATTGAAGTCAAAGTTTCTTAAATGTATATCCTAACATGTTTTTAAATTAAAATTAGCTTGTTGCAAAAAAAAATATCTTTTCTAAAACAAATGAATTTTTTTTATATTTATTGCATAAGTACTATGCCTATTTCTGAAGAATATGTTTTTAAATTTATTAAAGTAAATAGCTCTGTTAGTTTGATTTATTGATCTCCCTTTTCCTTGTCTTCGAAATGGAAATAGTAATATATATTTTAAGTTATTAAAAAAAAGACATTTAGAATTAGACATTGTCATTATCTAAACTGTTTGAGAACTCTAATCAATCCAGTACGAAACATTTAATTTCCAGATAAAACAGTTTGTGATATGTATAACTTTAAACGCGTGTTATTTTGTGTTTGTTTTTGTTTTACTGTGAAACACACTGCAACACTTAACAGCGAGTTTGTCGTATTCGGGCACATGTCCTACGACACAACAAAAACGGGATACGATCAAGTCCATTGAGAAGAAAATTAGCTCAGGTTAAGCTGCCATCTTTTTTTTTTGCTGAACTCAAAAAGGGACAAAAGTAAAGAAAGAGACAATGAAACATAATGTGTTGTAGTAAAGTCTATGGTTATACATCAAACGTTACATATTTACAGTATCTGTGATTGTTATTACGCCAGTGATATATTTATACATAGCCGTATGGGCTAAACCTCTCTCAAACTATAAATAACCATAACATAATCGTAATGTAACTTTAACATATAAGTTTATAGAGACAAATTTAAATATCAAAACAATTTTAGCAACATATTTTATATATGGTAAATATTGTTCGTGTTTCATCAATATAAATTACAATTGGATAAGTAGGTCAAGACCAGATGGTAATGTGATGTAACATAATCTGTGACACAATCAGATGGTGAGTTAATACAAAACAAATTAACAGCAAGTTGGCCGACCTGTTGGTGACGATGTAACTACTGTGATGATTCCACATGATGTTTGGCTATTAAACTACTGTGATGATTCCACATGATGTTTGGCTATCAAATTTATGTAATGATTCCATGTGATGTTTGACCATCATTTTAATGTAAAAGTTCCACATACACCATCATCTGATACTACGTTAAATATATGTTCTGTTTTAAAGTTCGTTTAAGCTTTGTTGCAAGATAACATAATGACAACATGTGATATCGAGAACGGCAATACATTTAACCGAATGTTTTGCTAGTCGTTAAAATATGTAAAAAGCAACATCAACGTTTTTTACTAAGTTAACAAAATTTTTTTTCCTAATTGAAACGTATACAACTAAAATAGCATGTAGGTTTTAAACACAATAATCAACAAGATTGTTTACTCGATAGTCTGCATTTTGTTAGTAAATAATGTGCGATCATTAAAAAAAGATCTCTATGAGTGTCAATGTTCGGTTGCCCCTCTTTTATGCCTTATATTTAAACAATAGGTAACAATTTGTGAACAACTTCTATATGTACATCGTATGAAACCCACATAATAATTTTAAGCTTAAAATAAAAAGCTACTGATATAATAAAACCAGATGACAACCCGAGTGTGTCAGTTATACTAAAATTACAATTTAACGTATGATCACTGTTACCGTTTCTTCATGAATTTATGATTTCTATTTTTTTTATTGTTAGCCTGAACAACGGCGACCATAGATTGTTGTCCCAACTTCCTTGACAAAACCTTTAGTTTATTAGTATTTTTTTAAAATAACTATTGAATAGTGTCGTCAAAAGTACCATAGCAGTTATCCTTTATCAACACTAGCATCATCTGAGCTGAGGTAGTAGTATATAAACATTTGAGCACATTAATTTTACCTGGGTTTGTTTTGTATGATCAGAACTCCGTGACCCTAACATGACTATGTAGTGTGTGGTACAGCTCAAGCAAATGTAAGCGTTTATAAAAGTTTCACATGTTATAAAATATAATTTTTGCAATTTGCAATATAGAAAAGTTTCACTTGTTTTTCGTTCATGATTTTACGGAAAATAAAGTTTTAGCTAATACTACTTTACTATTTTAAAATTGTGGTATTTTTAGAACAATGTTATTTGGTTCGGGCAATTGTTTATTTAAACATTATACAAATTCAAATCCCTTATTTCAACATTTTAAACTTAATTATTTTATAGAATGTGTTAATTAGAAATTTGCTATTCTGAGGACAGAGGTTATGGGCCACACAAGTTGTAAAAATAGAACCTGGCTCATACATGTATTGTGTGGCTTTGGGTTAAGTGGTATGGAATAATAACTCTTGCTGAAATAAATTTGGAAATACATTTTTTTTAAAGTAACATGGGTGTTATGTAGAGTAAAATGATACACCTAAAAATCTTCGTATATAGTGTGAATCATATAAATCTTTTGTAGCTGCAAAATCACATAAAACACAACTACATTGTAAATGCCGTGATTACATTGTTGAATCATTTAGTTGTTAATAATGTAAAGCGTATATCTATTAAAACAAGTATTTTTTATCACTTCCCATTTTGTGATATGAAACATGTTAAGGGAAGTAACTAAAAAAAGGTATTCCTTTAGTCAAAAAAATATAATACAACATTGATAGGCAAAATAACTAAAAACGCTATTGTTTCTATATAAAATATGTTTGAAACAATGTGCCTTTAGAAAACAAATTGCATGCACTTTTGCGCGTCTTTTAAATAAATATAACGTTGCTCTGTGTTTTAAAATGTATAACCGTATTTAAATGTAATATTAATTTTGTTTTTTTTTTATAAATCTTCGATTTAATCGATTCTGTACTTATGATTTTTTTTTTGTGAGGTTTAAGTGATATTTTATAAAATAAATGTTTCAAAGAAACAGCAGAGAACAACAGAATATTTGCTAGCACAGCTAGGTTAAACAGAATATCCATCATGAAAGAACACCGGTAAACATAGTAAAACAACTTGCTCAGACACTTACAATAGTTATTGCTCAACTACTAATAAAACCAACCCACAGAAAAATATAACACATTCTTCTATTAGAAATATCACGCATTTTTCCATTAGATGTTCTAAGGTCAAACTATCACACATGTTTCTATTAGATGCTCTAAAGTCAAAGTATTCGATGTTCTACAATCAATACATCACACTCTCGTTTCCACGAAAGCAGTGGTTCTTAACCTGGGTTAGATATCTAATTCATGAAAATGGTGACATTTGTTTTACAGAGCCACTATAGTGGCACTCTCTTACTTAATTCAAATAAAAACCTTAGAGAATAGTCTATCAATGTTTACAGTCTAGAGTTTAGATCTTTGACGTTTGTAACTAAGTCTCTTGCTTCCCCATTTTCCGTCATTCATTTTACGAAACCTAAATAAGCCGAATTCGTTAAAAGTCACAATCTTTTAATAAGGTGTAGATCAGTTTGACAATCATATAGAATTAGAAACAACACATCAAACACATGCCATGCTACATATCTCTTTTAGATAGCTATTTAATTCACACATATAGAGTTACATCAAACTTATATCTTTTCGTTATAATTTGGCGAATTTAGCCAGTTATGTAAAGAATATGTAGATTTTTTTTTAAAATCATGTTCAATTGTAATCAATAATAGTAAAGTGCACATTTATTTTTATTAACTAAAATATTTAATCAAGATAGGTGCTTTGACCACAGGTGCTTTGACCACAGGGGGTTTGACCAAGGGGGTTTGACCATAGGGGGTTTGACCATAGGGGGTTTGACCACAACACATTACTTGTAGCTTGAACGAGGCCAAGACATTACGAGTATGCGTAGATATATATATATATATATATAACATGTTGTCTACACTAGACACATAACATGTTGTCTACATTTGATTCTTTGCTTCAGTTTCCTTTGGAGCAGCTCCTTTCTTTTTACCACCATCAAAGATCTAGATCTATTATTAAATTATTAAATCTAGATATCTAGAGACTATATAATCTATTAATCTACTCCAGCCCATGACTAGATGTAGATCTATGTGATTTCGGATTACCAATGGTTTAAATATTAGATTTATAGATCTAGACGGCTAGGTTACCACCACAGCCATTGTCCTGCTAGCAATACTAATACTACTTTAATGCATAGACTCATTCTATATAAGCTTATCAACTAAACCTTGAAATGCCAATTATTAATAATACATGCGATGGTTACGGTTCAATCAAATATGTCAAAATGAGAGAGACACATGAACACGATTTTAAAATACGCAGCTAATGCTAACTAAAAGCCGGCTAATTCCACTTCATAATACTGGACTATTGGGATACGAGTGACAACAGATGGAGAATGCGATTAACAAACTCTCTAACGACCCAAAGCTTTCACG